TCAAAAATATACAGGCATTCAACTTTTTGGACTTGACAATCCTGAGGTTCAATTACTAATTCGTCAACATCATGTTCCTACCTGTTTACCGAAAAACTGGTCTAATTATGAGCTTATGAAGTCTCTCTTCGATTATCATTTAAAGCGAAGAACGCTTGTAGTTATAAATTGGCATAGTTTATTTCTAAATTGGCATGAAAGTCAAACTAACATTATTGAGTTTTATTCAAGTCTAGAAGATATTTACCTCCGAATTATCAATTTAGTGATCGTGAAATAGGTGCTTGGCGTGCAATGCTTCGTGCGAGTGGTTGCCATGATATTACTTCATGGACGTCTGAAAAATCAAAGGTAAAATTTAAACCTCTCAAAATAAATAAAAACTAATTCAGGTTTATTCTATAATTTAGTATCAACTTTGGACGAAAAATACGTATTACGAAAATGATCGGGCTACAATTCAACAATTATATTATTTAGGATTTTTAAATAGCTTGCCAAGTTACATTCCCAATAAAACTCGTATTTTTTGGCAATGTTTTAATAAAGCATTAGTGGATAACAAAAAAACAAGAAATAGAAAAAGGCGAATTCTATCTATAATTGCAGACGATTTTAATTATTTGGAGCTAAAAGCAAATTTGGGCGCAAGTATTATTTGAATGCTGCCAAGAGAAATAGGACTTCGGGCTCTAAATTATATTTTGTATCAAACACAACCCTTAATAAATTAGATGGATTGTGTCTTTACAAAATATAATTAAAAGCCCAAAGTCTATTTTCTCTTGGCAGTATTTATTTTACAAATTTATTGGATGCGTATCATTTCATCGACGATCGCTTTACCAAGCACCCCATCACTCAGAGCGATGATAATATTTAACAATTGTTTGATGATTAATAATCATCGTTCAATACTATTCTTTACAGCGTGTGATGGGATGCTTGGTAAAGCGATTGTCATTGAAATGATACGTATCCAAATTTATTGATAATCAAAAAATCTTGAATAATCACTATAATTTTAAACTAATCTTAATAGGTTGGGTACTATACAATTTCAGAATCACGGAAACATACAAAAATAAATAGATATGGTGCTCTAGCTTTAACAAAACCAATTATTCATCGTACAAAATTAACAACAGAGCAATTGGATCAATTTGAATTGTTTTTTACAACCAAAGAAAACGTTAATATGTTATTATACAAAACAGATGAATCAACGGGTTTACCTATATTATACCTTCAAGATTATAAGAAAGCTTTATGGAATAAATTTCATGAGGAATTTCCCAATGGCATGCAACGTACAACTTTTATGACTCGGTTGGAAAAAGGCAGGTTTGTATATAAAGAAAATCTTGGTGGTCTTTGCTCTACTTGTAATGAACTAGGCTACGAAGTTTTTGAAGAACTCGAGTTATTAATTAATACTGGAATTAAAAATGATGGGCATAAGGTATAGTTTATGATTCTACTCTAAAATTTCAACACGACGTGGTAATTAAGTTTAGATTTCGGAATTTAGAGTGTTTATGTTTCAATTTTTTTTTTCTCTCCTTAAAGCTTGGTACTTATATTTAATTTTATAAAAATAAGGAATGGCTATTTCCACCATAGAAGTTTACTGTTGCCAGTAAATTTCCACGGTGGAAATAGGCGTTGTCTAAAATAATAGAAAAATATGCATATATTAGCTCAAAATTTACGAAGATACCTGCGTAAAGATTTTGCCACCAACCTTAGAGTATTATCAACAGGTGTTGCTTTACACTTGCCATGCATAAGTCATTGTCTCCAACACGCTTTTAGTAATTGCCATTTAGATCATCCAGAAATTTGCAAAAATTGTAATAACTTATTTGTCCTCTTTGATGATCTAAAGGCAAATGTGGAATAATGAGTTTCATGAATCTTTAATTGAGCATCAAAGTCAACTAATTAATTTTATGGCACATCATACATGAAAGACATATCTTAATGCGCAATTAAATGTTGAACTTGCTCAACTTGATTCGGATGGAGCTTTGTTTATTGTAGATTACAAAATAAGAATCCTTCCGCGAAGTGCACGAGAAACTAAACCTGAGTTCTTTGAAAACATGGATGGGCGCTACATTCTGTGCTTATATATACCAAAAATGTAGAAACTAATAAACTTGATATTCAAGCATTTGATCATTGGAGTGGTGATACCAAGCAGGATGCTTGGTTCACCGCATTCTCCCTTCACACTGTACTTGAAACCTTGAATCAGATGCCAAAATGGATTACTATTGTTTCGAACAATGGCCCTTATTACCACAATACTGAGTTAGTGATAATACTAAGAAAGTGGAAAGAATGGTATAATGTTTCTGTGAAAAAGTGGCTATTCCTTGAGGCTGGTAAAGCTAAAACCTCGATAGACTCTCATCACGCGCAAGTTTGTAAAAAAAAAAAAAAGATATTGAAGTTATGGGATCTATGTCATTCCTCGATTATTATTCTTTATGATAATTTTGTCCATATCAGTATGCAAATTATTAATCTTAATTTTTTTATCAGCAGAATCATCATGTCTAGAGCTTTGTATTCATTATTCGTATTTGGCGAATATTCGAATAAAGAATTATCTAACAAATAATTCAAATAAACAAATTTTATTCGAATAAGAAAATTTATTCGAATAATTTTTTTATTCATGTGAAACTTCAGTCATTATTGTTTCACATATAGTGACTATATATTACCATATCCAAAAACTATATGTTATTCGAATAAATAGTACTTATTCAAACAATATTAGTTATTCGGTAAGTTATTCGAATATTATTCGAATAAAATATTAGTAAGCTCTAGTCATGTCTACGAAATGATTGTTGAAATAATCAAGAAATGATATGAATCTGAAATTATGATTCTAATTTTTACAACTTTGATTTTCTAGATAACACATGCTATTAAGAGATATGTTAAATTTGGTTATAATATAAACTCTGGCGAAGACATTGAAAAGGCGATAAAGGATATAGCAGAGACCAATGTTGCTCATTTAGAACCAAATAGAAATCAACATATATAATTTTCTGTATTTATAATATGTAAATAAACAATAAATGTATCTCTATTTTATAGGTAATAACGATGCAGCACTAGGAACAATAGCGGGGATCCGAAATTGGCATGAATGGTCTTGGCCTGATAACGAGACTGAAGCAGGGTACATTTATGCAAGGTCTTTACCCGGAATCGACTCCTGGAAAAAATTCACACCTGAAAGTATACAAAAAATCATCAAGAAACGTGTTATAAAAAAACCAGAACCTACTATCACTTCACATAGCCATCCAAGCAAATCTTGGACTATGCCAATGCCAGAAATTCAAGGTGACAAAAATTTATAAATTTGAATATCATTTGTTGAAATTAACCTAATACTCTGTTTAGCATAATCTTCACCTCAATTTTTCAAAAACTATAAAAACTCAATATGGGTCATAGGAAAATCGCCATTCGGCATTTTCTGATCGGGCTAATTTAGACAAACTTAGACCAACGTGTCGGTTCTTACTTGCATATAAATCATCTTTGCCTTTATTAACTCAATAGTTTATTTGATAAACTATTGTCAAATAAAAACAAAAGATGATTTACATGCAAGTAAGAACTGGAATTAGCCCGATCGAAAAATGTCGAATGGTGAATTTCCTAGCAACCAATTTCCTCTATTTTTAAATCTATACACATTCAATTAGCAAAGAAATTCACAGTGCAGTTATACTTCTCCAAATGCAGCTTATAAGAACCGAATTTTTATAATGCGTATTTAGAAAATAGTAAGTAAAAGCGCACTTATGAAGGTTAAGATATGTTCGGGCCATATTGATGAAATGTCTACCGTTCAATCTTCCTATCAATGCGCTTTCAAAGCCTTGGTCGTTCAAGTGTTGAATTCAATTAGACAAGAACAATCGATGATTGAATCTCACATGATTATGCCTCCAGATTTTGTATCTGGTGTTTTTGAAAATGGAAAAACTTCTTTGATTGATCATGAAGAGATTAAGGATGTTTCGGAATTTAAGAATGCGCTTAGAGAGTTTGTGCATTTAAAGAGAGTGTATCTAGAAAGGTTTCACTGTACTGGTTTTTATGTAATATCAATATATGTTTCTTTTCAATACCCTGCCCTTTCTTACAAGTCATCTAATGTTAATCAGAAAATAAAGTGGGTCTGGCCTTATTAGCAATAGAATTATTATCTGGCACTTGGTAACTTATAGTAATATCTCTGTTTAAATATTAATACTAATTATATAATTTTATAATTTCGTCGAATGAAGAGTTAGTAAATGAAGACAAGAATAATGATCTCGTATGTAATTTGCTAAAATTTTTTCGTACTCAATAAACAAATAGCTAAAAATAGCCACTTATAATCCAGGAAACAATCGACTTAACCAATACAGCGGAAATAGAAATTTATACCGAATCTGAAGGGTTATAGTTTTATTTTTTATTTTTATTTCTTTGTGAATTTATCGAATTTATCAAATATTCACTGAATTTTATACTTTTACTATGCCTTACGCTTTCATCTATATTCATACTTTTTATTTATTGTCTACTTTTGATCATGTTTTTCGCATCTATTTATATTATTAATTTTTATTCAATTCATTCATATTCATGTTCTAAATTTTCACTATTTATTTTTTCAATTTTATTTATCTTTACACTTTCGTCTACATTTTTCATTTTCTATTTCGTTTACTTTTATTTTTTTTTTATTTTTTTTTATTTTTTTGTTTTTTTAAGTGAGGTCTTTTCCTCAGTTCCTTTATTATTTATTATACAGATATTACATAGTAAGTTTATATAAATTTTTGAGGGAAGTGGGGAATAAGCTAATTTACTTTAGACTTTAACCTTAGCTAGGTAGGTCAAAGACCTCTAGACTATGAATCAAGTATGTTGTGTGGAGAAGTGTTATGCGTAATATATTTATGTTTCCAGAAGGTAATTTTACTTTGTAGAACTTTTTCTTCTGTTGTAAGTTGGATTGGATTTTCTGAAACTACTATATTTGTTATCGGGGGCTGAGTTGTATTATTGATTGTAGGTGTCGTTTACTTTTATTTATTTGTAGCACTTTATATTTCATATTTATTCATATTTTGCCTTTCACATTTCTTTTTATTT